CAGTCACAAGAACGTCGAATCTGAATCACTTGAAAAAACACAGGGGTGCTTAACTTTTTCCAGGTGTATATAAACTATCTAAATCCTAATGCTTGCATTAAACTTAAACTGAAACAGTCCAGTGAGTTTTTCTAGTCAGAGGTTACATTCTTGAGGCCTATTATTCTCCTACTCTCTGGAGTTTTGTCTTCTACTTGCCCCTTACAGTGTGGTTTCCTCCATTGTGACCTCCCTTCTGCCTCGAGTGTCATTTCATTTGAGTTGGCTGGTTCAGCTCTCCATTTCAGTTTCAACGTATACCCTGTATTTCATTCACATGGGGTTCTCTTTCATTTCATAGGCAGGACAGGTTCAGCCTAGTTTTTCATCTTTATGACATGGAGCTTTTGATACCAGGGTTTTTATGTCTCCTTCATTTCCTGTATAAGTCTTATTTTTAGGAATTCTCATTTCTTGAGTCTCTTCTTCCTCTTTGATGTGCATGTGCATGTCCCCTTCAGTGGTTTTTGGCCTGTCAGTTTAGGTATTCCCAGAGATACAGTGTCCGTTTTCCACCTCTTTTATTGTGATGGCTTACTCTTCCCTTTTCCCCTACTTTACCCACACATGCATCTATTTGAAGCTCTCCAGGGCTCAGAAGTAAGTATGTGGGCTCCTTCTGCTTACATATATGGATTTATTTCTTCAGGATGAGCATACAACACAGTTGGCAATTTATTTTGGCTTTATTCTTGATGACAAACAATTCTATAACCACATCTTTCCATTGCCTCTGTTCTGATGGGATCCATTTCTGGCATCTGGTCTTCATGGGTGAGGTTTATTTGTCTCTACATCCTTGATTGGTGGCTACTCTACAGCCTTGCCATCATGATCTGTCTCATCTGTTTGGTCTTTTTACCATGATTCATTCAACACCTCTTCTGTTGTTTCTGCCTTCCCCTGACTGGGAGGTATTCAGTCATGAGAACTTTGTTTTCTGGGATCTGGACTTTTTTCTTTTGAGTCTGTGATCACCATGTTCAGTTGTTGACTTATCAGGTCTCAAAAACTTAGACCCTGGTGGCAGGTTGACTATCTTACTTTTGCCTGGACTCTTCCAACAGAGTGGTCTCTCTATCCTCTGGTGTTTTTAGTGGATATGCTCCACTATGGGCATCCTATCATCTCTGTCTTTCCACCTCCTCTTCACTACTCACTTCATTTGATATCCAATCCTAGACTCCACAGCTTTGGCTGAAGATGCTCTGTGTATAGTGTAGTTCTATATCCTTTTATATGCTTTGGACATATTTCTTTCTTTTCTCCCTTGTGAGAGCTGTCACTTATTTTTGCTTGATCTCTTCATGCACTATCTACCATGAGAACAAATTCATTTTCTTCCCTGACCATCCCAAAATTTGAGTGGCATGGGAAGATGATTGGCTGTTTTCTTTATTCATCCTCCCTTCTTTTTCTTCCCTGTTCAGTCATTCTGACCTAGATCATCTTTGTTTTGTACAGTCTATTCACTATTATCTCACCCATACTGCACCTTTTTAAGGCTCTTGCCAATGTTTTTTCTTGCCATGGGATTCCTCTAGCAACTTATCTTCTTTTGCTTTGCTCATTTGGGTTATATACCCCATCTGGTTAGTTTCTTCTTCTACCCTGGCTTTTGTCTCCCTCCAGCTGCCATTCTCCATTATTTACAGTGGCTCTGATGGTAAGTTGTTTATTTTTCTCGTATTTCTTTCAATATATATATACATGTCTATATTATGGAGTCTTTGGAATTAACCGAGTAGCCGGTGTTGCCTTCCAGTGAATACCTACACAAAATGCACACTGAATGGGAGAGTACAGAAAGTGTTAAGCCCATCTACTCCTCTCCAGTGCCTGCTGTTGAGAAGAGGTTTGTCACAGGATTGCTTTAGTAGTGTCTATATATTTTATCTTCTAAGCCATTCTGCACTTGTGAAAAAAATGACAGCACTATGTGTCTGCCCTCACATCTGACTCATGCCTGCTGATGTGATAAACCACTGCACTGTCTATCAGACTGGAAATTAATGTCAGATGATTGTGCCTGATTACATGGTCCATGTACCTCTCCAGTGTTTTCCCCCATGCATTTCTTTTAGTGGAGTATGGGAGAACTCTTGCTTCTCTAGACCCCAATCCACTGGGGAATTCTATATGGATATGACACAGAGTGGACACACCCGTTTTGGGAAGTAGGATTGAGGTTTTAGCTGGTAGTGTAGTACAGGACACTCCACTATGTTATAAACCAAACCATTCCCTGTGGTTTGATCCATCTGAATAGGTCTTGGGTTCACCTTGGGATACAGGTCTGGGATGCTTCTTCATGCATCTGATTATTGTGATGAGTATCTCATGTA